AGGAGCAACAGAACAACATATACAGAGGCTACAACTACATAAATGACGTCAAACTATAGCAGAACTTATGGCAAAATACGAGGAAGTATGTCTACATTGTTCAGGTTACATGCACAAGGTCTTCCCTTTTAACAGTTGATTGCACTAGGGTATATCTGTACAATCATTTGAGGTCGTTTTATTTTTTTCTCCTCTTTGTCAGTATTGTCATTCGTATGATTTATTGTGTTATTGTTGCTTATGTTGTGTTTCTTTGATTCTTATGACTATGTCTGAACCCTTGTTATGTGTCAGTGGAAGTTAAAATGTATTCATAAAATAATTCGGATGCAGAAGTTTGATTCAGGCTGAGAAAATTAAGAAAAGGTTTTAAACCTGGTGATAAGTAAGTGCTGGTGACTTTGGTTTCAGTAGAGCTGGTATGAGAACATGTCAGTCAGTCAATATTTACAAAGTGTCTATTATGTTCCAGGCACTGAGGGATGTAAATAAGAAGAAGAAAGATAGCCTCTGCCCTCCTAGAGCTTCCAGTCTAAAGAGAGAAGACACATAAAAGAAAGCTGCAAAGGATAGAGGTGGGGTAGGGTTTGGGAAAGGGAAGGGAAGGCACGACTACACTCTGTAGAAAGGTCCCAGGAACTGAGGGTACTCTAATTAGAGATATGGGCACCACACCTGATGTGATTTTCCATTATGATGAGATTATTGGAGGCATGCCAGAAAAGTCCAGAGGAGGTGCAGCCAGGTGGAAAGTGAAGAGGCTTCAGGCCAAGACTACTTTTTTCCAAGAAGGTTAGTTATAAAAGAGAAAGATGGGAAGTGATAGCTTGAAGAAGCCAACAGATTGTGGAGTTTGGAAGTTGTTGGGTTTGCTTTGCCAGGGCTTGGGAGATCTGTGCTTCTTTGAAAGCAGATGGGAAGGAGTCAGTAAAAAGGAAGCAAGGAGATAGCTAGTGGATCAAGATCCGGATGGAGTCAAGGACACAGGTATAGATAGTAGCTTCATTGAGGGGTAAGAACACTTCTTCCTCTGAGATATGGAAGAAAAAGAATAGATAAAAATGTTGAAAAGTTTTGAGGTATGGAAGAAGGGGCTAGATCCCATTAGATTTTTTAAAAATATTATTTTTGTGAACTCAATAAACCTAATAAAGAACATTTTAATATACCAAGAACAAAAAATTGCATTTAAACTATATACCATTATTTACAGCGTGTTTTTTAAATGTACATAAAATTTAACTGACAGTAATGAAACCACCTTGTTTATCTCCCTCTCCAAACTTCCTTCTGCTCTTTTCTGTGTTTTTAAATGTTTCATTGATATTCTTCTCCTTTTTTTTTTTAACATCACTCATATTCACCATCTTCTTGCCCACCCCCAAATAGAAGCCCTCCTTTGGAACAAATAATATAAGTATAGTTAAACCAAATTCACCTCCTGGCTGGCTGAAAGTATGTGTCTCATTCTACATATTTGGTACACCATCTTTCTCTGCCCAGAGGTGGGAAGCATGCTTCATCATCAGTATGAAGTCAAGATTAGTCGATGCATTGTTTAGAGTTAATTCTTTCAAAGGTGTTTACCTTTACAAAATTATAGCCATTGTATAAACTATTTTAGTGTTAACTTTATTGTACTGTAGTTCATACAAGTCCTCCCAGATTTCTCTGAAAATGCCCAGTTTATAATTTCTTACAATATAGTAATATTCCTTTACACTCATATACCATAATTTCTTGAGCCCTTTCCCTGTTAATGAACGTTTACTTTTTTTTTCATTACATCATCCTTGCATATGAGTTTAGGCATGTAGTTCCAAATGTCACTTTGGCCAAACTGAAGGAGAGGGTACCTGGACTTCCAAACCACAGCTGGAATGCTAAAATTATAGGAAACAAATTTAGTAGAGAAGGAAGCCCCAGTTCAGGTTTCCATCTAGTTTATATTATAAGTACATCTGATGTGTCCCGGAAGCACATAGGCCACAGTTGGGATTTGTACTGAGTTTAGGGGCAGATCTGGTTTCTAAACTGTGTGAATCCTCTAAACTGCATCACAGATTAAACTTCCCCCTGAGGGAAGCACCAAGCCTGGGGTCCATCTGTAGCCATAAAGCATTATGTGTTCATTTCCTGGAATTAAAATGTCATAATTGAGGTAATCTGAAATGAAATGTTCTGGCAGAGATTAGCCACTAAATAATTAGAAATTAGTGAAATAACACAATTGGTTCCTGTTGATCGTCTGGAGCCACTGTTAATTAAATTCTCTGTTTTGGGTTCAGATAAATCCATTTAGGCCAGTGCTGTTTCAAGGTCGCAATTATTTATTGGTTTCTGGTGCTGGGGTTATGGCTTTTTCTCCCTCTCTGTGATCAGGTTCAGTTCTGTTGTCCTCCAGTTACTAATTACTAAGAGCCTGCTATGTGCTCAGCTTTGTATTAGGTGCTGTGAAAGATGATACAGTAGGAAGATACTCATAGTTCCTGGCCCTAAGGAGCTTATGTAGTCCAGTTGGGAAAACACAAGACTTGCTTGAAGCAGTGAATAAAAGGATAGACTAAGTGGAAGCTGAGGGTTGGCCTTAGAGTCAGGAAAACCAGGATTCAAATCTCATCTCTGCCATTCCTTGGCTATGCCAGGATGGGCAAGTCATTAGATTTTTCAGGGCCTCAGGTAATCCTCTAAGACTCTTTTAAGTTGCTGGTTTGCATTCATAGAAGAGAAGTCCCTTTGTTTAAAAAAAAATTACAGAAGAAAGAAAGGAAGAAAAGAAAGAAGGAAGGAAAACATTATGTTGTATAGACTGTGGGGGAACTCAGAAAAGTGGATAATTTTTGTGGGCTGGAGCAATTGTGGGAGGAAGAGGAGAGCTTGCTTGAAGAAATGAGACTGCACTGGGCATGGTAGGATAAGTTATATGTAAAGGAATCTTAGGATCATAGATTTAGAGTTGGGAGGAATTTTAGCAATCATCTATTTCAACTGTCATTTTTTACAGATAAGAAAACTGAGGCCAAGAAAGCTTAAGTAGTTTACCTAAGGTCATCCAAGTAGTAAGCATCAGAAGTAATATTCAAATCCAAGTCCTGTAGGCTCCAGAAGAGTGACTTATCTCTAGTACTTTTCTACTACACCACACTACAGGGAGCTAATTCCAATTTGAATCAATAAATCAATATTAAATGCCTACTTTGTGTAAGGTACTGTGCTATATTTTGGGGATACAAAGACAAAAATGAAATAGTCCCTACCCTTAAGGAGTTAATTAGTGGGGTAAACAAAATGATCGTGGAATGTGTGTGTGTGAGTGAGAGAGAGAGAAAGAGAGAGAGAAAACTTGTATATGTATGTAGATGATGAGCAGATTCACCAGAATGTTTGCCCTGCTACTTACTGCCTGTGCCCGTGTGACCTTAACCTCTGTGGACTTGTTTCTTTGTGAAAAGTGGATTAGGGAATGGGAACCAAGCTTTGGACTGTATGATTTCTAAGGTACCCTCCATCTCTATGTTTGTGATGCTATCATAAAGTAGGCAAGTCAGATAGGGTGAAATTATATACAGTCTCACAAGCTAAGCAGAAAAAATTTCAACTTGCTACTTTTAAAGGAGATAATATGGTGTAGAGAAAATAACATTAGAATCAGGATGGGGAGTATTTAAATTGGTTAACTCATCTAGGGCAAGTTAACTCCTCATCATGAGCCCCATTTTCTTTTCTAAAAATGTTTGGATTGGGCCAAACATAGCATTGTATGCTTTTTATGTCCCTTCCCCCACTTCATAAGAGAAAAAAAGAGGCACTTTCCTGAGCCAGTTTCCCTTTGCACGTTCATGAATCTGGCCCTTTTTCCGACCAATTAGTAACTAATTACAGACTCTCCAAACAATGGCTTTGGCCAGTGTCATCTGTTCCCATTCAAAGTGTTTTTTTTCTGGTGCCAGCTTTAACCCCAGGTCATATGTTCTTTTTATACTCAACAGTGAATAGGCTCTTAAGATTGTCTACTGGACCGGGCAAGAGAGGTTTGTACTCTAGCATACACATCTGCACACAATATGTTAATAAGAGAACAGCAAATTGTGTGTGTGTGTGTGTGTGTGTGTGTGTGTGTGTGTGTGTATGTGGCTGAGGCTAAGCAATTTAATCTAAAAATTTGTTAATCATTGACAAAAGTTTTGAATAGGTAGTTTGTCTTTCCCCTGCAATGTTCTCCTATCCTCACCCCCTTTATGCTTCTCCCAATTCCTTTATATACCCTTAGGTGTCAATGAATGAGAATAGCTTTGAGTGAGTTCTTTCCTGGGAAGTTGAACATCTCAATAGGTCTCGAGGTCACTAAATTAAAGAGAAGAATCTGTAATCCTGAGCCAGGAGAGATTTTGGGACATCTGATCTACACCTATCTAGGAGCCTACTCTGATTTGTACATATGTACATATATATGGGTGATTGTGGATTAGTCATGGAATCTGACATTGAAGTGAGAAAGGACCCCAGAAACCAAGAAGTGGGAGCTCCTTATTTTATAAATGAGGAAATTGAAGCCCAGAGAGTGACTTTCCCAAGGTCACAGTTGTTGAGTGGCAGAATTGGGGACTCGAACCTACTTCGAGGGCGCAGGCCGTGAAGTTACAGGACCTAAGTTCAAATCCTGACTTATCGGTGGGATCTTCGACACATGAACTACAATCACTCAGCTCTTGCTTCCGTATCCTTAAAAGGAAGTGGTTGGATTAGAGTCTCTTCTAGCTCCTTAAAAAACCATTAGCTTCTCACTCTCAGGGATCTTTCCCTTATGCCATGGCCTATGTGGTTCAGGAGTGGAAGAGTGGAGCAGAATGCAGTGTGTGAAACAGCAGCAGAGAAGGCTCTGGGTGAGCTCTAGGGGCGGAGTCCAGGTAGGACTGGGGACCAGGCGGGGCCCCAGCTCCGGAGTTTGCAAATCAGCGGTCAGAGGCCTCGGGGGCCCCTCCTCAGTCCTGCCCCCTGGAGGAAAAACTTAAGCTGCCACTCGAAGGGCACCTGTCCTTGAAAGAGTAGGTTGGCGGAGCTAAATTTTCTGTTCGAGTCCGGAGCTACTAGTCACCACCATAGCCGCTGCTGGCCCCAGACCACCCAGATCCAAGACAGTCTGTGGGCAGGGCGGAGTGGGAGTGAGGAGGGAAGAAGTAAGGGTGCCGTGCTTCCGAAGGTGTTATAGAAGGAGTCCAGCCCTAGGGTCCAAGTGAGCAGCGGACATGGAGGGCGCGCCCAGTAACCTTCGGAAGAAGGCGGCGGAGCGGCAGTACCGGGCGGAGGTGATGCTGGCGGGGGAGCAGCTGAGGTAGGTACTGTGCCGGGACCAACGAGGAAGAAACCCCGGCCTGAAGGGCAGGGAACTCATCCCTTCCTTACCGATGACCCCCTAGGCTCATAGCACTTGGAGCTGAAAGGGATCTTACAAGTCCTCTAGTTCAACTCATCCTTTTTCTATCCTCGACCCCCATTTTACATATGAGGAAAATGAGGCTCAGATTGGGGAAATGACTTGTTATGGTCGGTTGTAAAACTAGTTAAGTGGTCAAGCTGGCATTTGATCCCTCATCTTCCGACTACAGCTCCTGCTTTCTCAACAATATATCATGAAGGGAAAAGTAAAACTGATGAAAGAAAAGCGGCTAATGAATGCGTTGGCAAAGCTCTGGTCTTGAAGCCTGAAACCTGCGGGGAAGAAAGCGGCGGAACTGGGTTAGAAACGGGGTCGAAGAAAGTTGGATGGGGGTAGGGGGCGGGGAGGTGAGACGAGAATAGAGGGATGTGTTTGGAACCAGAGCCCAACAACAGCAACCTTTTTCTCTTAGTGTGGTATTTCTGATCGACTGTGTCCTGTGTGTTTCAAAGCTTAGAGAATGCTGTACCGGTTGTCTAGGAAAAAGGCAAGTGACAGAGTCTCTCTGTCTGTCTCCGTCTCTCTCGCTCTCTGACTTCTGTCCCCATATCTCTGTGTCTATCTCTCTATCTCCCTTCCTCCTCTTTTCTCCTCCTTCCCCCTCCCCCTCCCTCTTGCTGTATCTCCCTCTATTTCCCTCCCTCTCCTCCTCTACCTCTTTTTCTCTCCTCCCCCTCTCTTCCCTTCTTCTTCTCCCCACGTCTCTTGGGTCTCTTGGCTCCCTACCGAGCCAGACTCTGTTCCATTTCCTTTCCTCCATTACAATGCTGTATATTGCAACTCCTTTTCCAGACTGAATTCAAACTTCTTTCCTTGTAAGGGTTTGTGAAGTTTTCTCACATTGGAGAAATAGACCTGTTGGTAAATGTTTGACAATCGGCACACTTTGAAATTTAATTTTCATTATTAACATAATTTTCTTAAGTATAGACAATCAACAAAACAATAAATCAACCCCTGATTTATAGCATTTGCTGATTTTCTTAGGTGTAAATATACACAACTGAAAATTTCAACAATTGGGCTGGAGCCAGCAGTGGAAAACCCTAAAGCAAGCTTGATTGAGAGATCTTGAAAACCTGAATCTGAATGTTGAGAGTAGACAGATTTCACTCAGGCCTCCGTTTCCAGCCCCTTTCTTTTCTTTCCCTTGGACTTGAAATTGGGAGGATGTCCCTCCTCTTCCTTTGCTTACTAATCATGGAGAGTCCAACACTGTAAAGCGAACTGATCTGTTCCCCCTCCCTACAGAACTTCTAGTCTCCCAGCTTTTTAACTTTTTTTACCCTTGAGTCTGTCCTTGGCTTTTCCCCATAACATTGGCTTCATGCCTATACCACAGGCCACACACACACACACACACACACACACACACACACACACACACACACACTCCCTCCTTTCACAGCATATACATGAAGAATGAGAAATTCTGTGGCTAGAAGTTAGTAGATGTTTATTAAGTGCCTACTATGTGCTGGGCACTGTGCTGAGCTAGAACATAGTGTAAGGTAAGATGACAAAATCTGGGTCTAGTGGGAGACATAAAAGGAAAAACTTCTATAGTTTCAATGGCACCTAACCCGAGTCAGGTTAGAATGAAAACTACAGATCTGGATTGACTCAGAGGAAAAGATAAGCTGTCTGTAGTAGGGAAGTTCTAAAGAGGAGGAGGATGGAAGTCTGAAGTCATGGAGGGGATTAAGAGAAGGAACTTGTCCACTCCATCAGGGGACTTGGAAAGGAACTCACTCTTGGGGAAAGTTATAGCACAAGTCAGAGGTCAAACTTTCTTCACTCAACAGAGCAAATTTGGAGTAGTGATTAGGCTAGTTATATGAAGGCTAGGAACATAAACATTTAAGAATATAAACATTTTAGAAAGTTCCGAATGATAGATTAGTAACCAGATACTGAGGAGGTTTGAAGGGCTTTGAGAGGTGGTGAGATAACCGTTTATTTTTATTTAAAGAAAAGAATCTGGAGTTTTAGTGGACAACAAGTTTAATATGAGTCAATCATGACAAGACAGCCAGGGAAGCTGATTTGATCTGAGGCTGCATTAAGAGAGGAATAGCGCTCAGAATAAAGAAAAAGACACTTTCCATATGCTTTACTTGAGTCAGACCACATCTGAACTATCGAGTTCACTTGGGGATGCCACATTTTAGGAAAGACATTGATAAAGTGGAATGGTTCCAAAGAAGGATGACCAGGGGACTCAGACCAGACTATACATAGATCTGTGAAAGGTCTGGGGGTGTTTAGCCTGAAGAAATAAAGACTTATGGGATGAGGGAGAAGGAATCTGATAGATTTTTTTTTTAAATGAGGCAATCAGGGTTAAGTGACTTACCCAAGGTCACACTGGTCTGAGACCGGATTTGAACTCAGGTCCTCCTGACTCAGGGCCGGTGTTCTATCTGCTGTGCCACCGAGCTGCCCCTTAGATGTTTTGAAGTATTAGAAGGGCTGTAATGTGAAAGAAGTATTAGACTAGTTCTGCTTGGCCCCAGAGGGCAAAACTGAGAGCAATGGGTAGACATTATTAAGAGGCAGATTTCAGCTCCATATAGAACTTCAGTCCCCTTGGCTTTCAGTAAATCTGTTCAATGTGAAAGGAAATATATTCATGATTCACTGTGCATATTCATGTAAGAGATAAAATAGATTAATTTTTCACAACAAAAAGTAAGATTCGATATGCTTCTCAAGATTATACCAAAAAAAATTGTAAATTCATTGATTGGAAATCATTTCCCCAAAATCAAAAAAGAATATTCTTGATATCCCCTTAACAGGCCTCTCATAACAAAATTTGGGAAGCCCTAGACTAATAGTTATGAGGTCTCTTCCAACTCTGAGATTCTATGAGTGGAGTGATGCAGAAGACCTGTCGTCATGTCTCAGCTCTGCCATTAACTGCACAAGTTGCCTTGGGAAAATCACTTCTCCCTGGTACAGTGGAAAGAAAGAGTGCTGGATGTGGGCTCAGAAGACATGGGTTCAGCTCTCAGGCCTGCTCTTTGCTACCTGCGTGACCTTCAGAAAATCACTTAAATTGTCTGCACCTTCATCTGTGAAATGAGGAGTTATAGTATATGTCCTCTACAGGCCCCTTCTAAATCTAATCCTTGAATCCTAAGATCTAGGCTCTGTCTAGAGGATTGTCATCCTCTCTTCCAATCAGTCCCCTGATAGGATGTCTGCAGGACTCAGGATCTGACCCTAGTATCATTTTAAAAATTGTTTTGGTTGGATATGACCCAATGATACTTGCTCTCTGTCTTCAAATATTTGAAGAGCTGTCACATGAACGAAGGTGTGGCCTGTCTAGCCCAGACAGAACCAAAGAAACAGAACCAAGAACAACTGAGTAGAGTTTTCAAAAAAGCAAATTTAGGCTTAAGGTTAGGAAGGACTTCCTAAAAACTAGAGCTATCCAGAATAGAATGGATTATCTTGAGAGTTATTATGTTGCCCCCTTCCTTGGAGATCTTCATCCAAAGTTTGGGTGAACACTTGTCAGATTTATTATAAAGAAAATTCCTTTTGAGGAGAAGTTGGAGTAGACAACAGCTAAAAGGTCCCTTCCAATTCTCAAATTCTGTGTTTTCTCATAGGTTTACATAGGATTTGGGGGATGTGTTGAGATGGATAAATTAGTTTGGCATTTGGAAGGGAAGAATTTCTTGGGAAGGGAGGAGAAAACCTTGGAGCAATCTGTGTAGGTGTCTAAGGGGACTGAGTACTGCATACTCAGCCCACTGGGGCACATACAGACAGCTAGCTCTGGAAATTCAATGCAGGAGAGCTTTCTGAGAGTGAGTGAATACTTGGCATTGCTCTACTTCTAGATCCTTCCACCCTTCCTCTAGACCACTGACATTCCTCTAGGTCATTTCAGCAAATACCTGAAGGCAGTGGAGGTGAAGGTCATGGTCTGTGCACTCAGCCCTGCATGCAGATGGAGGGTGGTTCTGAGGTGGTGCTTCAGAAGAAATGTCCTGAACTCCTTGCAAGTGAGGGTGCCCTGTCTACCCTACTGAGAGGCTCAGCCCTAGGAAGCTCCTATTCTCAGAAGTTCTAAAGAGGGGGAGGAGGGGCATTGTAGCTACAGGATGATATTGTTACCTAGTACCTGCACCTGTCTGGGAATAAAGAGGCCTGGGTTCTAGCTGTGCCACGAACTAGCTGTTTGACCTTGGGCAAGTAATTTCTCTCTGGGCCTCTCTTTGTTTGCAAAATGAAGTGGATTAAGACTTCCGGTTAAGTAGAAGATTAAGTTAAGCAGAGAAGGTTCAGAGCCACTTGAATCCTACAATTCTCTGTTCTAGGTTCTAACCAAAGGAGAAAGCCCTGAGGATTTGGAGGGTGAAACCCTCTTTGGGGGGCAGCAGCTAGAATTGCTCTGATCCAGAAATGCCCAGGGGACCAAAAGTCTGGAGCAATCTGATTTGAGACCTTCCAGATGCTCTATTATTTCATATGGTGCTAGAAATATTAGCTATAAGATAGGAATAAGTTATTGGAGGAATAGGCAAAGGCAAAGAAGAAACAAATTATTGCTTCTTGTAAATGATAGAATGATCTCCTTAGAAAACTCTTGAGGTTCAACTGAAAATGAATTGCAACAATTAATAACTTCAGCAAAGTAGCAGGACGTAAAATAAACCTATACAAATCATCAGCCTTTACATATATTACTGACAAAACCCAGCAGGAAGAGATTCAAAAATAAAATTCAGACTGAGTACATAATGTGTAAGAATTTGAGAGTCCATCTACAAATGCAAGGATGTTATAAATACAATTACTAAACACTTTCTACAGAACTAAAGATGGACAAATAGTTGGAGAGACATGAATTGCTCATGGCTGGGTCATGCCAATAT